AAAAAAAAAAAAAAAAGATGCCGCTGGTTAGGGTTGAGGAGATAGTGGTGGAAGTGGTGGAAATGCAGACAAGTAGAACCAAGGGGGTTTGCCAGTGGATCCAGAGAGAGTCACGCACCGAGGAAGTGGGATGACTTCCAGGCTTGCAACTCCTACCTATGGGAGGATGGTGCTTTGGATTCTTGTTTTTCTACTGAGACAGACAGGGTGAAACTCTCCCCACCCTCCTCCAGCCCTACCCAAGGTCGCACATTTGTTGGATGGCTGGCCAGCATGAGGAGCCCCATCCGTGAGCAGAGAGCAGATGTCTCCTTGTGCCAGGCTGAGGGACTGACCCTGTGTCCTCAGTCTCGTTAGCCTGCCCACGCTCATACCAACCAAGCCACTCTCCTATAACTGAGATCACAGAGTCAGCCGGAGCTGGAGAGGGCTCAGGGGTGTGTGTGTGTCTGCGTGTGTGTCTCCGGTGGGCTATACTTGGGGTAGGGAGAGGTTCAGCACAGGGACAGTCACTACAACTGACCCTAGAATGTTAGGGCATCACTAGTTAATATATTCCAGAGAAACAAACACGTAAGTTCTTTACCTGAAGAATATCCTTCTACGTGAAAGCTTTATTTGCTCCATGTGGAAAGAGAAATAGATCATCATGCAGTTACCATTTATTGTGCTTCCATTACGTGTCAGTCTCACTGTGAAGCCCTCGGCAAACACTTCATTTCATCCTCATAACAAGCCAGTGAAGTAGAAATTCGTATTATCCCATTTCCTAGATGGGAAAACTGAGGCTGAGAAAAGTTAAGTTACTTGCCCAAGATCTGTCTAACTTCATACCCACGTTCCCAACTACTACCACCACCCTGCCTCCCATTTAGCCTGGAGGAAGATTCATTTCCTGCTTCTAGAGGTGAAACTAGAGACGGGAGTTTTTATTTATTTATTTATTTATTTTTGAGACGGAGTTTCGCTCTTGTTGCCCAGGCTGGAGTGCAATGGCACGATCTCGGCTCACCGCAACCTCCGCCTCCTGGTTTCAGGCAATTCTCCTGCCTCAGCCTCCTGAGTAGCTGGGATTACAGGCACGCACCACCATGCCCAGCTAATTTTTTTTTTGTATTTTTAGTAGAGACGGGGTTTCACCATGTTGACCAGGATGGTCTCGATCTCTTGACCTCGTGATCCACCCAGGCGGGAGTTTTTAAAACGTGGGTCCAGCCTTGCTCCAGAGGGTAAACCGCGTTGAGAGAAGGGTTCCGTTTTGAGCAGCGCAGGCAGCAGGTGGTGCCCCCTAGCGGTGGTACCTAGAAAGGGCAGCGGCAGCGGGAGGGGAACACGGAGTTGCAGTTGCTTGGGTTCAGGCAGTTAACGGGCTGGTGACAAAGACACAGCAGTGTCTGTGGAGCAGGGAGCCCGTTCCATTGATGCAGGCTGCCCCAAGTAAAGGGCCAGAGCGTGTCTCCTTTCCTGGGGCCATGGGATGTCCTCACACTCCGGGTGCTGATTAGAGGTGAAACACACCAGTAATGTGAATGACATCGCCAAACACCAGCCATATTCTTATCATTCAAACCTAGCATTTGCACCTAAATTCCGCTTCTGCACATACAATACTGGCAGCATCTTGTTTACAGTTCGAGGCAGAGGATTTTGGCTAATTTAGATGTCGGTCTGGTGACCCAAGGGGAATATTCTTATTATTGAATTTTTCTTGCTGACAGTGACCAGGCATCGCATGGTGGGTTTCCTGGGGACCGCCTGCACGTAGCTTCCCAAGGCACAACCTCACGGGGAATCAGACAAGGATGGAGAGTGAGACACAACGTGCTCTGGAGCTCAGGAGAGCACAGGGAGGGGTGAGGATTCCACTGGGGGTGGGGGTGGGGCCGGGGAAAGGCATGACATCAGGTTTTTAAATCATAGGGATACCTTGGGTATTTGCCACATTCCTGCTTTGAGACTCCTGAATAGGAATTACAAAGTGTGCTGACTCTGAGAATACATACAGAACCAGAGCTGACAAGTGGAATCTCTCAAAGTTCCTCCCTGTTACCTGCGATGTTTGTTACCTGCAATGTTCGCCCTCAAGGGTAAGAGACTCCCTTCCTGGGGAGGGGGCTGAGGGGTGAGTTAGTGAGTGGCGCAGGTGGGGATTCAGAATGCCTGTGTTCTATTTCCAGCGCCTATCACTGACTCATATTGTGACCTTGCTCAGGTCATGGCTCTGTTTTATTTGTTGGGGGGAAAAATTAGAGGTGGCAAAGCTTGCATTTCCCCAGGGGATGGTAGTTCCGGAATATGAGACACCTCCCTGCTCTCCACAAACCCCAACTGTGTCTAGTTCTGCTGATATTAATGAAAAGAATGCTTACATTTGGATCCAAGGAACTTTGGGGGACACTCGAAGAAACGAGTCATTCCTGCCATAGCAAGATTTGTGGTCACATTTTTTTTTTTTTTTTGAGACATAATCTTGCTCTGTCACCAAGCTGGAGTACAGTGGCGAGATCTCGGCTCACTGGAACCTCCACCTCCCGGGTTCAAGTGATTCCCCTGCCTCAGCCTCCCAGGTAGGACTACAGGCATGCACCACCATGCCTGGCTAATTTTTTGTATTTTAGTAGAGACAGGGCTTCACCATGTTGGTCAGGATGGTCTCGATCTCCTGATTTTGTGATCTGCCCACTTCAGCCTCCCAGCATGTTGTGATTACAGGCGTGAGCCACCTCATCCGGCTGCGGCCACTTTTATCTGCAATATTTCTCGGAAGAAAGACCTTTCAAATCACATTCCCATATATATAATTTCCCATGTGGCCCTCACGTTGTCTGTGGAAAGGAAGAAGAAAGATAGTTTTTCCTTAGTTTCAGGATGAGGAAATCGAGGATAGGAGTGGTATTTCTCAACAGGTTTGTTACCAAGAGCCCCTCTTAATATTTTACCATCATGCGTTCCCCTGTTTTGCAAGCCCTTGTCAACTACATACTTGCATATATTAAGTAGAAATTCATCTCTATTTTCCTTAAAGTCACCTGTGAATGCCAGCTCAGGTTTCTGTTCTGCTCAAAACAACCAGTGCTACCATCAAGCTCACTGCCAAGAGTTGCAGTATTTAATCCAGGTGACCTCCTCAAGATAAAGGCCTCATTTTCACAGGACTTTAAAAAGACCTCTTTGTAGTATGTGTGGACCCGGGCTGAGAAGTCCTCAGAGAGATCAAGCGGCTTGTGAAAGATTCTGTGGCCAGTGCTGGGGCCAGGACCAGACCCAGGGTCTTGGCTCATACATAGGCCAGTGCTCCAGCCAGACCACTTGACAGGGAGGGCTTGCGTGTACACTCAGACATACAGACACACGGGCTCGCACGTGCAAGATGGCAGCCCAGCCAAACGCAGGTGTCAGGAAACAATGACGCTGAGGGCTCAGTTCATAGCAGGTTCCCCTCAGTACAGGAGGGAGCAGCCAGAACAAAGCCGGAGATTGGCAGAGTGCAACAGATCGCTTCAGGCTGCTTTTGCGGACTTGCAAGGGTGGGAGATGTGTTTACTCTGCCACCTGCCTGCACTTTGTGTGACTCTTCAATAATTTATGCATCTATGTATGTAGGCAGAAGCATTTTCAGCCACTCTGGGAGCATTCAGACCACTCCCCCGGACACCTGCCTCTTCAAGAGCGTGAGATGCGACTCGGGGAGCTGAGCCCTTGAAGCTGGGGATGGCAATGGTAAATTGGGTACCCTGGGAGAGTGGAGACAGACAGAGAACTCTGAAAACGCGGGGAGGTCTGGCTTGGCCTGGAGTATAATTAGGGGAAGAGCTGCAGGTCTCCAGGTGCCTCAAAGCTTCCCCCCGGGTCTCCCCCACCCCCTCCCCAGGGCTCCTGCAAATATGCTCATCTGTTGAGCCCTTGGCACCATCCCAGAGGATCAGTTTTTTTTATCCCATGGCTCAGAGGCATCAAGTCTGCCTGTACTTTTGGAAGAAGGCCGCCGGCTTGGCTTTACGGCTTCAGAATCCGAGGCTCCAATCCCCAGCAGGGCCAGGGGCCAGGGCAGGGTCTCTGGGGGCCTCCTGGCCAACAGCTGTTCCCTGTGTTATTTTGGTCTAGTGGGAGTCTGTCAATTCCAAGGCATTTGGACCAAAATAGCCAACAGCAGCACAATCTCTTGGTAGCTCTGTGGGGACCCCTCCCCATACAGAAGTTTCCAAATGGGGTGGGACAGAAGGAAAGGAGTTTGTCATGGGGGTGAAGAGGGAATTTTCCTGCCTGTGTCGAAGGCTGACATCAGCAGTTCGTCACTGTCCCTTCATTTCAGCCTTGGCAGGTACCTGACCACCTCCCCAGGCCATCCAAGGTGCGGGTTTGAGTGGGAGAGAGGAAAAGATAATTTTTGAACTTTGTTTTTGACTTCTTGGTCCTCCCCTAAAGCTGGTAAGATATATATTACCCTTTCCCATTTCACAAATGGGGCTACCAGGTCCAGAGAGGTAGAGGCACTGGTCTGAAGCCACACAGCTTGGAACCCAGGTCTGGTGACCCCAGGCTTCTGTGCCTCAGCGGCTGGACCTCTGTCAGACCGACAGCTGATCTTGCATGGATGCCAGTTCCATCCAGAAGTTCGGGGCCAGCATGGAAAGTGCTGACTGGCCCTGGCCTTCCTACGGGCCACAGCAGGGGCCCTGGTAGCCACCTGCCTGGCTCACCCTCAGGCCTAAGACCTTTCAAGTGCAGGTGGGGGAGGGAAGAGGGAAGACTAGCCACTCTCTCTCTCTCCTTGGAACCCCGCCCAAATTCAGACCAGCAGCCCCTGGAGAGGCCCCCAAGAGCCTGCAGGGATTGCCCACCCCCCGCAGAGCAGAGCCAGAGTGACCCAGGTCCCACTCCCGCTGGCTACACGGGGTGGCGTGCAGGGAGCGTGCTTTGGCACCAGGCGGGTGCGGGAGGCAGGGCGCACGCCCGGGACACGCCTTACGGAAACGCCTCTGGGCTCGGTAACTGAACTTAGACGTCGAGGGCAGCCGGCCCAGTGCGCGCGGCGTCTTACCTCCCAGTCTTGGAAATCAGCTGCCAGGGTGGGGCCGGGTTTTGGCCACGTCCAATAGGTCACCCCTACCGCTCCGGCTTCTCCCAAGAGATTTTTCTAGCGGGTTAATTTCCTGTCTGGGTAAATCCTTTGGTGAGTCCCTCGTCCCTCCCTCCCCTCTCCATCCCTGCTGTCCCGGCTCCCCCAGTCGGTCAGCGCTGCGCTCCGTCGCCCCCGCGCGCCCGGGCGCACGCCCTCCCCGCCCGGGCCGCCCTCCGGCTCCCCGCGCCCGGCAGCCAGTGCCTCGCCGCGACGCGCCGCCCCGCGCCGCCCCGCGCCAGGGCTCGCTCCGAGAGCCGCGTCCGTGTCGCCTCGGCCCGCGCGGACCCCCCGGCCATGCGCCCCCGCGCCGCCCCCCGCGCTCCAGCCTGCGCCGCCGCGGCGCTCGGTCTCTGCAACCTCCTGCTGCTGCTCGCGCCCGGGCACGCGTGCCCCGCGGGCTGCGCCTGCACGGACCCGCACACTGTGGACTGCCGCGACCGCGGGCTGCCCAGCGTGCCCGACCCCTTCCCCCTGGACGTGCGCAAGCTGCTTGTGGCCGGCAACCGCATCCAGCGGATTCCCGAGGACTTCTTCATCTTCTACGGCGACCTGGTCTACCTGGACTTCAGGAACAACTCGCTGGGCTCGCTGGAGGAGGGCACGTTCAGCGGCTCGGCCAAGCTCGTGTTCCTCGACCTCAGTTACAACAACCTGACCCAGCTGGGCGCCGGCGCCTTCCGCTCGGCCGGGAGGCTGGTGAAGCTTAGCCTGGCTAACAACAACCTGGCGGGCGTGCACGAGGCCGCCTTCGAGACCCTGGAGTCGCTGCAGGTGCTGGAGCTCAACGACAACAACCTACGCAGCCTCAGCGTGGCCGCCCTGGCCGCCCTGCCCGCGCTGCGCTCCCTGCGTCTGGACGGGAACCCCTGGCTCTGTGACTGTGACTTCGCCCACCTCTTCTCCTGGATCCAGGAGAACGCATCCAAACTGCCCAAAGGTGAGCCAGGCCGGCTGGGGGAAGGAGGGGGCAGGGAGAGGCCACCCCAGGTCCCAGTCTGGGTGCGAGGAACCTTGGGTTGAGTTTGCAAGAGGCTTGGGGGCTCCTGAAGTTTTCCTGAGTCTCTGATGGGGAAGTGGGTGGGGAGGGACACATCTGGGATTCTTTGGAGTTTCTGGGCCCTGAGGCTGAACTTCCCCTGTTTCTCCAATAACTCACTCTCTCAAGTTAGCAACCTTCCCGTTCAGGGGATGCCCAGGATCACCTCCCTGGTCCTAGAACTGGCGGGTGTGGATTACCTATGGGCCCCTGGCAAGCTGAACGCAGCCTTCTGTATGGGAAACAGCCCTATTCTCAGTACCGTGCCCGGGGAGTCAGCCAGTTCCACCGGCTCTCCAGCAGCCTCTCCAGCCTAACCTGGCCTCTCAGCTTCTCAGCTCCAATTTGCTCTTCTGTCTGAGTGAGGAAGATTTCTGATGAGGAATAATGGCAGCCTATTAAGCGCCAGTGATGCAGTCATGATTTGTAGTTCCCTGTGGCTTTTCAGCCAGATGTGAAAAAGCTGAACCAAACTGTAGTGAGCTGGTGCCTTCTTTGCTTTCCTGGTGCACCCTTTCAATGGCGGCATGAGCAAACATACCCACTTGGCAGACGGGAACACCAGAGCACAGGGAGCCAAGGGGCCCCAATAAGGCCCGCAAGAAGGGGACAGGGGAAGGAGGGGATCCCAGCATCCACAGGGATGAGCACCCAGAGTAGGGGGCACGTGGGTGTCCTTCCCCCAGGTGGATTCCAGCCTTCTGCTTGTCAGCCTGTGAGCGTCGGTGCCCGCAGTGACCTCTCAGAGCTGAACTCTGCCTCCTACCTCATTCCCAAGATTTCAGCAGGATTGGAACCACAGCTGGAAGGCACACATCATCAAAGGTGACAAACATGCAGATTTAGCTTCAGAACATCTTTTTTTTTTCCCCCATTTACGGAGACATCAAGGATGGTGTGCATCTGCGTGCTGAACTCCTCCATCCATGTCTTCATTCCCGACTGTCATCAAACACACCCCATGCACCAGGGCACGCACTCCTGAGCAGATGCAGGCCCCTGAGCCAGCACTTCCAGTCCAGGCTGCCTGAAATTCCTTAAACGACCTGGCCGGCAAGGCGCACAGTCCCCATCTTTAAAACTTTGTCCTCATCCACTTGCCTGGCTCCCCAGACCCTCCCACTAGTAAACTCGGTCCTGGAGACAGGAATGACCGGACGCAGAGCTCATTGGGTGGTGGGGGCACACCTCGGTTCTGCCCGCTGCTGCCTTTGCTCTTTAGTGGAGTTGGCACCATTCACCCTGTTGCTGGTTGGGTTGGTGTAACTGGCTCCTGTTGTCTTCCAGGTGGAGGCTAGGTGTGGTGAAGTCAGGAGCTGTGGGTTTATCTCAGTTCTGCCATGGTGGCTATGACCTTGAACAGGCCACTGGTCCCGTCTGAGCCTCAGTTTCCTCATCTCTAGAATACTAGAGTTGACCTCTGTGATCTCCAAAGAGCCCTGGATTTGGAGTCTGAAGACATGTTCAGTCCTGGCCTAAAATCTGGCGGACCCTGGGTGGGTCGCTCCACTCTTTTAAGCTTCCCCTTCCCCTTGAGTGAAATCAGGACACAGGTGATGCTTCGTAGTCCGTCCACCCAGTAGGTGTTGGGATCCAAACAAGGTGATACGAGTGAAAGTAACAAGAGCAATGAAAGTGAAACGTTTCTCCTCTTGCTGTCTGTGATGTGAGGAAGAAATGGACGCAGATGGGAAAGACTGGAGGAAGGATGGACAGATTCAGAGCAAGGAGCCACGTCCAGGGCCCTGGGGACAGGGGTTGGAGGGTGTGATTTTATCTCAGCCAGGAGGGAGAGGATGGGCACAGCTCCAGGGCACCTCGCAGGGTGCAGTGCCATGAGCAGCTCTGGTCTCATTGCCACTGCCCACGCTGTGTGGCCTGAGAGTGTCAAACTGAGCCAGAAGCAGGGTGGGTGGTAGAGGTTCCAGCACATACCTTGAAGTGAGACCCACATTCAGATTTGAACTCAGATTTATAATCCTAGGCAAGCCCCTGACCTCTCCAAGCCTCAGTTTCCCTGCATCTGGATTCAGAATCTGGTCACAGTGTCCTCTGCTGTGCTTGCTGTGAGATTTAAATGACATCATCTCTGTAAAGGACACCGTCTTGCTTAGCATGCAGTAGGTGCTCAATAGGTGTTCATCGCCCCCTCCCTCCTCCTCCCGCATTTGTGCTGTTTTTTCTACTTTTCTCAGAGGCAGCTCAGAGCCCAGACTGGCACCAGGCTACTTGCCTTCAAATCCTGCCTCTACTTCTTACTGATTGTGTGACCTTTCTGTACCTGCTTCCTCATCTGTAAATTGGGGCTGATACAGTACCTACCTTCTAGACTTGTTACGAGGATTAAACGGGGATTATTTGTAAAGCACCGAGAACAGTACCTGGCCCACAGTAGGTACTATGTAAGTGTTTTAATTGGTGCTGTTATTACCGTTTTGACTAGATAATTGATGTGAGTAGCTTGCCTTGGATCACACAGAGAGTTAAAGACAGAGCTGTGGGTGCACCAGGACCTCCTGGCTCCCAGCATCCCCTCCATGAGGACCACCTGCTTCCTGCCAGAGAAAACCAGGCTCCATTAGGGTACAAGCTCCAGGGCTTTCTAGGCAGGCCCTCTGCCCCTTCCAGGGCAGGAAATTGAAGGAAGGAGTGGGGAGGAAATTGAAGGAGGGGAGGAGCTTGCCTTTGCTGTCTTTCCCTTGCCTGCCTGCTCCCTTGTCCTCCAGAGAAGCAACACGGGGCCCGGAGTGTTCTCCCTGTGACCTTGTCTAGCTGTGACAGTTGCAGACATTGTGCTGTCTGCCAGGTGAGCCTCCCCCTGTGGCCACAGGGCTGATGGAGAGCGCTCAGCCCCAGAGCCTGCAGCAGAGCGGAGGAAGGAAATACCATCAAAATCCAGTGGTACCCTCCGTCCAGGCTCTTCCATGGTCCAGGGTCTGGGACAACCTTGGTCTGAGGACTCAGGAGGAACTGCCTTGCTGGTGGGATGAGGGCCAAGGGATACCAGAATACGCAGCAGCCAATCATCAAAAACCAAAACACAACAATGCAACAAACTAAAAAACCCAAGATGCTCAATTAGTGTTGAATTTCAGATAAATAACAAGTATTATTTCAGTATAAGTAGGTCCCGTGTAATATTTGGGATGCATACAAAACACTATTTTTCTGAAATTTAACATTAATTGGGCTTCCTGTATTTTACCTGGCAACCCTAACATCCTACCTTATGGGTGCCAGCTACCCTTGTAGTTTACAAGCGCTGTCTCTTTTAACACAACAGCCATGCCTGGCAGATACCTTTACCTACAACTTACCCAACAAGAAGCAAAGGAAGAGGTTTGCACAGGTCACATAGTTAGTGGCTGAGATGAGCTTGAACTCGGGAGTGTTGAACTCACACCTAATTCTTTCTGATAGGCATAGAAAAGGAGGATGAGGCCAGGCGCGGTGACTCATGCCTGTAATCCTAGCACTTTGGGAGGCCTAGGCAGACAGATTTGAGGTCAGGAGTTTGAAACCAGCCTTACCTATATGGTGAGACCCCCATCTCTACTAAAAAATACAAAAAAAAGCCGGGCATGGTGGCTCAAGCCTGTAATCCCAGCACTTTGGGAGGCCGAGGCAGGTGGATCACGAGGTCAAGAGATCGAGACCATCCTGGTCAACATGGTGAAACCCCGTCTCTACTAAAAATACAAAAAATTAGCTGGGCATGGTGGCGCGTGCCTGTAATCCCAGCTACTCAGGAGGCTGAGGCAGGAGAATTGCCTGAACCCAGGAGGCGGAGGTTGCGGTGAGCCGAGATCGCGCCATTGCACCCCAGCCTGGGTAACAAGAGCGAAACTCCGTCTCAAAAAAAAAAAAAAAAAAAAAAATTAAAAATACAAAAAAAAAAGGGCGGGGCACAGTGGCTTATGCCTGTAACCTCAGCACTTTGGGAGGCCAAGGCGGGCGGATCACCTGAGGTCAGGAGTTTGATACTAGCCTGACCAACACGGAGAAACCCTGTCTCTACTAAAAATATAAAAAATTAGCTGGGCATGGTGGTGCGTGCCTGTAATCCCAGCAATTTAGGAGGCTGAGGCAGAAGAATGACTTGAACCTGAAAGGCAGAGGTTGCGGTGAGCCAAGATCGAGCCATTGCACTACAGTCTAGGCAACAAGAGTGAAATTCTGTCTCAAACCAAAAGTCAGGCAGGGTGGTGGGCACCTATAATCCCAGCTACTCGGGAGACTGAGGCAGGAGAACAGCTTGAACCTGGGAGGCGGAGGTTCTACTGAGCCGAGATTGCGCCAATGCCCTCCGGCCTGGGTGACAGAGTGAGACTCTGTCTTCAAAAAAAAAGTAAAAGAAAAAATGAGAGCATCCCCAGCACATCTTGCCCCCACACATCGCTGATCCTTCTGGGTGACAGTGGCCTGGCCTGGTGGTTCTCCTGTGAGACAGTGGAATTCCAGGCAGTTTAGGATGCTGTATTATCAAAAAGATGGTGATGATCTCTTTTTAAGTATGAGAAAGAGCTCCAGTGTGGGAAGCCAAGGCAGAGCAGGAGAGTGGGGAGGGCTCAGAGGAGACCGAGAAGCAGTGCAAGGACACCGTCTTCACCTGGCAGTGATCTTCAGAGCCTTCCACGTGGGCACATCATCTTCCCTGCACAGCAGCCCAGCGAGTGGGCAGGAGATGAAGACGGAAAAATGAGGAGCACCGTGGTGTTTCTCAAAGCGTCACCTGAGAACCACCTGTGTGAGGATCGCCAGGGGAGCTTGCGTGAAGTGCAGATTCACAGGCCCCCAGATCTACTGAATGAGGGCCTGCGGATAGGGAGTTGAGGCCTGGGAATCTGCATTTTAGCAAGCTCTATACCTCCAGGGGATTCCTATGCATGAGAGGGCTTTTC